AGCTGGTTGTCTCTTTCTCATCCTCAGCGGCATGGCCAGTTTCCCACTGGATGGGAGGTTCATCTACTGCCAGTGCTGCAGCCAGGGTCGCAGCCAGTGCAGGCTGGTACTCTTCAAGGTATCGGGTGCGAGATCCATAGCCGGGCGCAGATCCCTCCAAAGGACAGTGTTCGTGGTCGTGCTGGCACTGGAGGGTGAAGGCGTCTTGGACGGCCTGTTTGGTCGTGAGGAAGGTGGTGTTCTTTTGAACTGGCTTCCAAATGCCATCGTCATCTAAGCATTGTGCTCCATAGCGGCACTGGGAGAAGTCGGCTCGTCGGCCGGGAAGATCACGTAGAGCTCGGGTCTGCCAGGAGAGTGCATGCTTTGGCTGCTCGATGGTGGCGTGTCGACCACCCTTCACCTGACATAGGTAGCTCCGTCGGGTGAACATGAGATGCCGTTCATGATGTCGATGTCGAGCGGCCTTCAAAGCTTCTTTCTGAGCAGGTGTCCGGCGTCCGAGTGACTGCATGCGACTCCATAACTTGCATTCAGGTGCAATGAGCAGTTCATCAGGTGCTTCTTCTTCAAGGAGGGCCAGGAACTCATCATGGTGTTTGAGCTGTTCGAAGTCTCAGCCGGTGTCATAGGAGAAGCAACGGACTTCCATTCCCAAGGACTCAGCCACTTGCGCTGTTCGCGCTTTGCCACAGTAGACCTCCCAGAGCAATCGAGGTCGTTCTGGCTGATGTAGCTCCTTGGTGACATAGGCAGACAGGTCGTTGAGCTGTGTGGTGAGGTGGACGTCCATGGTTTTCAGCTCATGACGACGGAGAGGCTTTGTCTTCTCCTCATCGATGATTTCAGCCTTCTCGAATGCGGCAAAGCCACTTTCGGCCAGCATGAAGTCGTTGAGCTTGTAGTCATCATCCTGCTCAATCCCTTGGTCGTTGGTCCTCACGACAAACTCAGGCCGCTCGGGGTCGTAGTTGATGCTGAGGTGCTCATTGGTGAGTGACCAGAGGTATTCACCTTGTCTTCCCAAGGTGGCAGGCATCCATGGTGAGCTGCCGATCCGTAGTCGCCTCTGGGCGAAATCCATGGTCATTCCAAGTGCTTCGATGATCGGACGGCCACAGAGCATTGGCGTATTGCCGGGCAGCAAGAACAGTTCGATGGTGCCGTACTTGCCATCCACGAACGTGGGAATGTGAGCAGACCAGTCGGACCACATCGATGCATCGCCTCCGAACTGGAAGCGGCGTCGGCCTTTACTCATCTTGATGACCTCAATAATGAAGTCCAAGGTGGTCAGGTGATCGAGGTATCTTCGGAAAGGTCGCTATAGCCAGACAGGAATTTAAGGCGCTTGCTCCAGGGTCAAGCATCACACATTCTGGCCTTTCCGCACCATTGGAGTCCTGGAAGATCAGGAGTGCGCTCTCATCAATCTTTCGCTCCAGGGCCATGGCCTCGGTCGTTGACGAAGCCGGGCGTTTGGCACCAGGAGTGCGTGTAGTTGGGCTCGATGAACTCTGCGGGCAATTGGCTGCCCAGTGGCCAGCTTGGCCGCAACGAAGGCAGGTCATGTTTGCTCTTGCACGCCCTTTTGGATCTGCTTTGCCAGCTCCTTGAGGTGGATAGCGGATCGTGGTCTTTGACTTGCCACTTTTGGACCCGCCCTTCCCTTTTCCTTTTGTCCGCCAGGAGGTAGCCGAAGCTGGTGAGGTAGCATTAGATGAAGATCCTCCTTTTGAAGGCGAGACATTTCCTCCATCAGTCAGGGCGACAATGGGAAGGTATCCTCGAGCTGTTTTGAGTTCTTGGAATCGACGACGGGCGTCCGTGTAGGAGGCGAAGGCAGCATCATATGCGGCAGCCATCTGTGAAGGGCTGTTGACCTCATCATTATCGGGCCACGGTTCTTCTTCACCATAGTAACCAGCATCGTGGTCAAAGTCCTGGCCATCATCATAGACCTCATAGTCGTGACCTTCTTCAGCCCATTGTTCATCCTCCTCATAGTATCCAGCTTCCCAGACATCATCATCTGGATACGCCTCGTCCTCATAGTCATCAGCCATGTAGGCTCTCTGCTTCCAAGAGTGTCCACCACCAAAGCGGCGATTCCGCTCAGCATTCCAGCCTCCTCCCTTGTAGTCCTGGCCAAGGATCAAGTAGAGAGCCTCAATCACCGCGTTCTTCTCCAGGTTTGGTGCTTTCAGGGTGATGAGTTGTCTTTGCTCTCTTGAGAGGCCGGAGCGACGAAGATGCCAGCCTTGAACCGAAGCTGGAAGCTCGATGCGATGCTGTTGCAACCTTCTATATGCTTCTTCGTGATCGGCCACGTACAGCAACAACGTTTGGCCAGGGGAGCGCTGCAACAGGTTGAAGTATGCTTCAAAGTCCGTGGGGAGCTGTACCTTGGCGTCGTAGGAGAAGTTGGCATCTAAAGTTTCGATGACCTTCTTGAAGGCGTCTTCTTTCTCCAGTTCTTCGATGCCCCAATCTTGGAACAGGCGCCAAGTAACTCCAGTGAAGGAGCCCACGATGTTCAGCACACTTTCATTGGCTCGCTTGGTCAAGGACATCTTCCGGTGGTAGAGCTGAATTCTCTGCCTCCATTCTCTGTAGTCGGCCGGTTGGCCGGTGAAGACTGGCACGTAGCTGTCCCTCAGGTCCATATAGGAGGTGCCATCTTGTGAGCTCGATCCCGATGCCGGCGGCTTGTCTTTCTTCTGTCCATGAGGTGGCATGTAGCTGTTCACAGGGACAAAGGGCTCTGCCTGGATGTGGTGAACAGGTAGTGGATGGATCCACCAAGCGAGAGCGAGAACTGCTAATGCCAATCGTGCCGTCGGTCTCAGCCGGGGTGATGAGCTCGTGGTCGCGTAGTACTCCGGTAGGGAGCCCGCAGGCTCCGCTACCAATGTCGAATTGGTGTAGCGGCTCACGAGGTCCACTGCAAGCAAGAAAGGTGGAACGAGCGAAGTCGAACCGGGGGCGGCAACTAAATGCCAAGACACGTAGCTCCTCTTTTCAGCTCTTTGAGCCCGCCCTCTGCGGACAGTCGAACTAAGCTTCGGACGAAAGTGAAAAACATGCGACATGAACTGTCGACTTGATGCTCAGCGAGCATCTTCACACTAAAGAACAATCAGTCTTGAAGTCACCACGAACTCTTTCAACGCGTTACATGTTTCTTGAAATGTAGCAAACGACCCAATTAGAATAGTCTAGTGTTTCAAAGACCTACTTTCATTACTACAGTAACTGTTAGAGTTTTCTTTGGACTTGTGCTTGCCAGAAGACAAAAAATTGAATATAGATAATCAAGATTAGTCATCATTGACTGACAAGAACACATATCGCGATAACCAGGAAGAACGAGTCTTACCTAGATCTAAGGGGAAATGAACATCAATAAACAATTCAAGTGACTGTATTCATTACTATCAACAACGGGTCTTTGATTTAAATAATGAAACAGGGTTGACCACATATGCCATTTAAACTATATATTTAATCATTATATATATATACATATACTTTTTTCTGTATTTATTTTGAGGTGCAGGAATGTATTTTCAAGGAAACAAGGTCTCTCAACAATTAACAGTACTATTAACATCGTTACAACGTATAGCTGCTTTCTAAATACCAGTACGTAGTACGTAGCAATATTATTGACAAAACCCTTTGTCGGGAAACATAGTGCTGTTTAATTATTAGGGAGTGGAAAAAACAAGTCAAGAATCTCTTCCATTGACGGAGGGCAAATCAAAACAAATGAGTGCCATTGCAACCATACATGCAGTGGGTAATCTATACAAATAGGTTGACCATGCAATTCTTCATCGCAAAAAGGCACTGCAAAAGATCAAGGATTAAGATCAGATTGCAACAAACGCAGCAGAATGCTGTCTGCAACACACACACACACTCTCTCCCTGCCATCATCTGCATGAAGTCTTCATCGAACAATGCAGCGAAGTCATCCTTCGTTTCGTCAGTCATCCTGCCATTCCATGCATAGAATGGAAAACTAGATGAAGGAGCTTGGCACTACTGTCTTTGCTATGTGCAACCCCGGCAGCATAGGCAGACTTTGTTATTATTTCCGGCCTATTTGCAAGGAAAGCAAAAGTTGCGGAAGTCTCTTTTGAACTGATGCCAAGCTATCCAACTTGCTCCTGTCCACAACCCGAATTGAAGTGAAAAAAGCGTCAACGCGGTCCTGCCCTCAAAATCCACCGGGGCAGGCGTTTCTTGCCCCAAAGACACGACCTCAATAGACGGAAAGGTACATTTAAGCAAAAATTGGGACAGATTTTGTCAGTCCAAATCAGAGTCTGAGTCTTCCTCTGGTGACTTACTTCCAAGTCTCGCACTAAATGTCCCAACCAAGCCAGATGAAAGATTTGATGCATTGCGGGACTTGTATCAGCAATTTGCCCTCAGCGCAAGCTTGCTGGCCGCGAAGCGTACCGTGAAGCGTAATGCGAAGCGTACCGCGAAGCGTAGCATTGACGCCATCAGACCACCTACCTGCTACAGTGTCGATGTGAAGGTCAAGCTGAGGGTAATACACCTGGTCACTGTAAAATAAGACTCACGAAAATACACCTTCTACGTCCTCTGGTTGGTTGTGTCTGAAGAACTTCTGGCCATTATCAGTGAAGATTCTCTCATTGGAGGATGATGCAATGATTCATGATGCTTTTCATACAAAACAACTGTTTTTCTCAGAGCCAATGCACCACAAATTCACACCGCAGCTTAATCAGACTTTGTCTATGTGACACCAGCAACAAGGACAACGGCAAAGATCAAAATGGGAGCTCTGCAGTCTTTTTTGCCTAAACATACGTGTTGGAGCTTGGCACTAGCTAGGTGGACATCAAAAGTCACATTGAAATCTGCCAACTGGTCGACAAACCAAGGAACACACCTGCAAATAGATGGAGCATGTTCATCCTAACAACGGTTGAGCTGAACCACATTCAGTCTGAAAATAGAATGGTGTTCACTGCGCGAAATCCTGTGCAAAGCTGCGCACATCCTTGTCCAGCTCTTCTGGCTTTCCAGAATGTGCCACTGCAAATGGTGCGCTGTACACACTAGAAGCTTTCTTCATTGGTGGTTGCACCTATTTGCGCTCCAGTCCTGCGTGCGCAAGAACGCCAATAGTCCCAATAGATCCCAATAGCTAGTACCCATAGTTGTTACCTCTTTCTTTTCTTTCTCTGAAAAGCTTTGGACCATGTAATGTAAGGTCTTTTGTTTCTCCTGAATTCTTTCCTCCTTCTTTCTTTACAGCAAGGCTTTTGAATGTGTTTCGGCTTGGAGTTGAAACCTGAGTGCCTGAGTGCTTAAGCTGCGGACCCAGATCTACCTGATGAGGATCGGGCCAAGTATGATAAGAAGAACCTGACAACATGTGCTTCTTCACAGCTTCCAGGAAACCAACGGTGGCTAGACTTGGTCAATTTGGGTGGAACATTCAAAGCTGAGGCCCTTGCAATTAGGATGACGATGGACAAGCAGCACGTCCACTTGCGGCCCTGCCATGCTTCAAGCTGACTGAATCGAACGCCACCAACCTGTTTGCACATGTTTGCACCTTTCAGGGCACAAAAAGCATCCGTCCCTAGCTTTCTGTCGGACTGCGAAATATGGACGTCCCTTAAAGATGAGACCCGGCCATGGAATTACGGAATTACCTTTGCAGAGCGCTACCCTGTAGCCTGCAGCATCAACTTGCGTGTCTTGATGAGTTCCTGCAGCAACTTCCATGGGCAAACAATGATTGTTTGTTTGTTTATTGTGTTTGTGTTTAAAAAAGAGCTAACCTAACCAATGCTAACTTAGCTAACCGTTTATAGAACATAACTTTGTTCTTTTAGCTTTGGCAATACTTGGCCTGCTCAGCTTTGGCCGTGTAGCCTTTGGTGTTGTTCACATGAACCTCATGGCCAACTTGCACAAGGGGTCATGGCCACCAATGCATGCTGGTGCAGGTTGCCGTGTCCACCGTGCCTCAATGGCATCCAGCATCTCCCCCTGTGCATCCACAAGAACTGCCATCTCTTCGAACATCTGTGCCTCAAGCGTGCATTCTACCGTTGCATTCTACCCGTACCTCGCACAGTGTGTAATCTCCATCAACGAGCCATCAGGTTTTCTGCTGTATTCTCGTCAAAAGCTCTTTGTTGACACCCGACCCTTGCCCAATCTGGTGGGCTCAGTGCCACGGATGCGACCAAGTCTGTGACCAAGTCAGCGATGCTCTGCTCCAAACGCACAATGTCCTCACAATTTGATGCACTCTGAACTCTACCGCGAATTTCCTTTACATATTTTTGCACAACGCTTGTCGCTTTGCTCGTGCCTTGTGCTTGTCTTGGATACGGCGAACCTGTTTCAGGATCCATAGGATGGATTTAAACGCGGCGTCGGTGAATCATGATGAATCAAAAAAGAGCCCGCAAAGCCCTACCTCGTCTAGCAGCAAAGCATGTGTGCCGGCCATCCTGTCACTTGAGCAGCAATTGCATTCCAAACACTTCCGAAGTAGGTGCCAAGGCAATGAGCAATGAGGCAATGAGGCAATGGCTTCTTTGCGACCATCAAAGCTGCAGTTTGTCCATCGGAAATCATCTCTTGGCGCTGCTCCTCTGTTGCCTCTCAAGACTTTAAAGAGTGAAAGTGGCTTTCTGAATGTACTCTGCACGTCGAATGAACCAAAGACTAGTGAACGTCTCCGCTTCCTCTGGCATCAGGATTTGCATTTCCCGGAGCTGCCGCTTCTCCAAGGTGCGCTTGAAGTTCATCTGGGCCTGTGAGCTTGTATCGACAAAGCACCTGACAGGTTTCTTCATCTTTTCTTGTTTTTCCCCATGTACAGTGGCAACGCCAGATCTTTTGGAAGAGTAAGGGACGGGTTCTGGATTGAAGGTTTGCTTCGGGGCAGAGTGGATTCCTCGCCAAGTTTCCTCTATATATATATATATACTCGGAAGTCTACAATCCTTCCACTGGGTTGCAGCGTGTGCCGCCCGCTCTTTGCTGTTTTGTGCCTGGCTCTTTCCGGTGGCGCAGGTGCAATAGATGTTGCGACTTTATGTTTTGCTGGTCCCAAGTCGCTTTTTCGTGGCAGGTGTGCAGCACTTTCGACACGTGTAGTGCAGGGTGAACTTCTGAGAAATGCCTTAAGTCTGGCCAAAATAATCATTCGACATCTTCCAGTGTGAGGGTGCCTGGCAGACACACTTTGTGGATGTTGAAGCACCGATTTTGCGGCGAGTGCAGCACATCGCAGCGGGTGCCGGACACATCTCCTCCCACTTCAATCACCACCAACACCACCGCCGCCACCCCAACCCCCAATGGGCAACACAAGCACTTCGGGGGGGAAGTGTAGCACAGCTTGCTCGGATTCTGAGTTCAAGGACGCCTTCTTGAACCCTCACTGCAAGAAGCATTTTTAATGGACAATTTTGTCTTTTTTTTCCAAGCCAGGCCCTGCACCAACATCTAAATTCTAAATGATTAAACACGCTAAGCATCAAAGGTCCAAGGAAAACTCAGTGGCTCAGCCTTCTGAAAGTCCATGAGGAGCTGTTGATGCCTTGGATGCACAAATGAAGGCCTGCAGAATTCCTGCCCATGGGCCTATCGGCTCAGATGCGCTCCACCCAAATGGAGTGGAGAGGTATTGCGAGGTAAAGTGGCAAGTGGACCCCCTTTGGGCTTCAAATCTAATAGCGCGAACCTTGGAGCGCCGGCCTCCAACCTAAAACAAGTAACTTTAACACAACATGGAAGGCTCATTACATTTACATACGATATCATACGCAAATGATCGGGTGCTTTTGACTCTTCTGTGCGCACCTTTGGCATGTACGATGTTCTTGATCGAAAACAATCAAGCTTACAAATCAATGGTCAGCTGCTTTCTAAGCAGTCTGATTGCGGCCTTGCACGCTTGGTGCATGTTGGTTTGGATAAATTCTGCTGGCGGCTACAATGCTTGCGGTGGACATCCGCCATGAGTCAACCTAGCGCAATGGGGTCTGAGATGATCGCTTCTTGGCCATCGCCTGCTGCATATTTGTCCTTGGTGTCAAACAGCTCGTGAACATGACTCGGTTAGAAGCTGTTGACTGTTTCAACATGTTTCTCAACATGGTCTGCAGTGTTCACACTGCCCTCGCTTTCTGGCCTGATTTTAATTTGCGCAGAATTCGGCTGCTTCGCAGCTTCTTCCTCGCCAGCAACTGTTGGTCGCAGGTCTCAATCTCGATAAATCCATGTGCAGCTCTGTGCCATGCTGCCTCTGAGCGGAGCTTCAGAAGCTCCAAGCCACGCTTCACGTCGGCCACTTGCTGGTTGGTCTCCTGATTGGTCGGAACTCACGAGAATGACATGGAACAAACGCTTTGACTCGCTGACACTGGGCTGACACCAGAGAAAAAGATCCGTGCTTCTAAGCGGACGCGCCTCGACCAATTTATTGAGATTCTCAGAAACCTCAGCTTCCCTTTCCTGCGTTGTTGCCTTGAAAAGGAACTAAAACAAAGTCTAATGTAGCTTCACTTTCAGGTGCTGCCGCCACCGGCGCCTGAAGTGCCTCTTCGAGGATCACTCCCATTTCCTTTACATTGCTTCTGCCTTTGTCCAGCAAACCTGAGAGACAGTAGCGAGAAACAAGGAAGGCCTCCAACCGAATAGCAATGGCCTCCAACCTAAAAGCATTGCTGGATGTTCACAGAAAACAGTTGAACCAGCCTTGCAGCTCCCGAACCGCTGTGAAGAACCTTGCTCGTCAGCTGCTTGTTGATGGAGAAACAACTTTCTTTCAGGATGGACCCGCTCAGTGCAAAACTCTCGCATAAAGCTGTCTTCCTGACATGTGTCGCATGATGTCGCACGTGCCGTGTTTGACCCTGCTGGGTCAGGAGGACCCTCCCTTTTGGTCTAGGCGTTGAGCTTTCTAGCACTTTCGTGCTGTCGGCTGGTTCATCTATATAGTGGACTGCGTGGGTGATAAAGACACAAGTTGCCATGTTGCCATCAAACATCTGCCAAGCTTCCAGGTTTGGGGCAGCTGGGGGACCTCAGCTCTTTCTTGTCTCTCCCTTGCGCTTCTCCGACTGTTTTTGAGAATCGGGCTGCTGAAAGCCAGAGCGGACCTGCTAGCGGTGCCATCAAGGCCGCCTCCAAGCCGGGGAAGCACCGCACATGCAAATCCCTTTGCAGTCCTTAATCACCTTCGCATCGAAACAAATGGGTGAACTATTGCAGTGTGGACACCGCTTTGGAAGGATAAGACTGATAAGAGATCCCGCGCAAGTCTGAACAGGCCTACAGTCAAGGGCAAATCCGGGCAACACACATGCAGCGTTCCTGAAAGACCTCGACTTTGTGCTGGCCTCAGGAGACTCGTTCCATCTTGGGAGCAAATTGAGGAACTGGAAATCCAAGCAGAAAGGGAACGGAGGCCATCGCTACTACTAGGTTGGAGGCCATCGCTACTAGTAGGTTGGAGACCATCGCTACTA